AGCGTTCTAACCTATACCAGGGTGGGTCTTCATGAAGAGTTAGCCTTACTGAATACATTTTTTCTCATCCTCAAAATAATTTCAAAATATGCGCATCTAAATGAAAGAAAATAGGCTGTACAAAGTAGCAAAAGAAAAACGAAAACAGGCTTCGTCGATTTTGGCAGTTGGATTATTGATGGCTGAGAAGGGATTAGTGGACAGTTTCCTCCCCATTGGATTCTCGTTGACGGCTGCAGGATTTGTCATTTACTTTCTTTTTCTCTCGCATTCGGCGATTCTGAAACCAGGTTTTAATCTAAAATCAAAAAATGCCGGAATATACTTCAGGCTTCTTTGAATTAATAATAAGACATGTGCGGATATCTCTTATTCAACTGAGTTATTTTTACGGCTACAAGTCCCAGAAAAATAAGGAAACTCCTGATATCATTTGAGAGGACTCCCAGGGTTTAGACGTCGTTTATTTCATAAAGCTAAGTATATGAAGTTTATGGATTCGAAGTCGAGTCGGCGGCTATGACATTAGTGTACACATTAACTTTACTTCCTCTACGTAAATGGCACATCATTTATCTACTGTTACCTCTACTCCTATAATAAGTCAGCGGATTTCGTCAGCCATTTGACTGCACGAAGCAAAATTTCAACTTTATTTTTCTTACACAGACTTGAGTCTTTTTATCCAAATAGTAGTCTGATTCTTTCCGATAATTGTGCTTTTATGCTCTGACTTTTTGTAGCGGACTAGTCACTAAAGTTCACAAAACGTGAATCGAGATAGTCGAACTCGAACTTACACAGAATGCTACCCAAATGACTTTTAAATACACTGGGGTGGTCAAACTTGTCCGAAAATGCTTCCAAAATCCTAATGTGTGCTTGTCGTTGGGGCTAGTCCAACCAACAGTGTGCATTTCCTGACAATAAGAATACTTCGGTGGAACTGATTTTTTCGTAGTTTTGATGTTTACTCCAATTGCCCTGTCGTTTTCGAAGAGGCACTGAGGCTATGGTGCTTAACACAATTACGCGGACTGTTGATTTTTCGGAATATTTTATTTCAGTCAGATGACTGAAAGCCCTAAACGACGCCACACAAAACTCGCCTTTTTACAGTTTCTTCAGTACTATAAGCTACTCGATCAGTATATTTCTTTTAGTTTTTTCAAAGTTATTTCCATGGTGGTATGAAGGCACAGACCGAAACTCAGATGCTAACTGATAGGATTTGCAAACAATATCACTGCTCACAAGGCAGTGTACCATCAAACACATGGGAGACTCGGACGGCCATTTCTACCTTATCCGTTGTCTTCGGCCAGCCTCACCAAAAGTCGGATTTGCAGGATCCGGAATTTGAAGCCGGATTCTTTGATTATATAGTTTTATGAAATTTAACGCTCTATAGCTGATCCACGAACCTGTTACCCTGTCGGCTGCTATCTGGAATAATGGTCATGCTGGAAATGCGTTCACCGATCAGGTTACGGGAGATGTCCGTCTCGTTGCTCCTTATGGATCAGCCTAGAGCCTTCACAGGCAACCTTATAGTGACAGTTTATTAGGCGCAAGGAGGAGTCCCAATACAAGTGCAGCCGATTGCAGCCCAGAGGACGATGGGCCCGTAGCTCAGTGATAAAGCGTTGGACTTAATAATGCACAGTGACTTAAAAATACGGGTTCAAGTCTTACGTCCTGGAAATATGGGGTTGGGTAAGGCTGACTGACGACATCAGATAAGGTAAAAATGATCATCTCAGCCTTCTTTGACATCTTTGGCACTCTTCCTGGTGCATAATGGTTGTTTTTTGGCTGCCTGTAAAGTCACTAGATTGAACTCCAAGTCTCAGTGGGACGAGCACGTTCCGTAGGCTGGTTAGTGGACGCACTTCCACCACAAGACCATCAATTTAACAGAATATGCGCATACCACGTCACACTTTAGCGTTCGCTGTTTTATGGATGGAATATTTCAAATTTCTCACTCTATCTTACTTTGCCATGAGATAGCTATAAAGGCAGGTTATTTGCCACCTCCTTTTTGAAACATCGAATAGCAGAAGAAGACAACGCTATTGTCTGAGTAAATGATTTTTCCGAAAAGCTTTGGTGGAGATGACGATAAAATCTTATGGAGAAAAAGATTATCTCTGGTTATATTTAGCTATAACAATTCGTTCCCCAGTTATCCTTATTCCAAGCCCAGTTCGATTCATTGACGCATTCAAAGCTCTTGATTAGTTTTTCATGAGTTCTGGCTCGTGCTTTATGCAAATGTCTAGAACATTTTTAGGACTAACAATGATGTGGACGTTGAGGGTAAAAATCCTGATAACAGAAGCTTGGTTTTTATGAATTGTCCGGGTAGAAGGAAATTTGCTTCTAAACCATAGGCAAGCTAGCCCTCCATTGAATGCCCATTTGGTTATTTTTCTGGTCACTTACGTCAATTTCTTTATGACTTTTGACTTAGGAAGATATTAGAGAAAAACTATTTAGTACACTTTTACATGCTTGCCAATAATCCACCAGTCTCGAAGACCTTGGAATCTAACTTCCAGTAAATTGTGTTTACTAAGATAAAAAGCTGATGACAAATTTGTCACTGTCATGAAAAATCAGTTAAATCTGCTCCACACGAATCTTAACTCTATATTTCCAGGAAAAATGTTTACATTCGAGGCGGAGACTGATGGACAACTCTCATTTCTGGATGTTCTTGTACGTCGAACGATTAATGGATCAATTCACACATCAGTTTATGACAAAGAAGCATATTCCGACGAGTGATTTCCATAACCCGATCAGTGCGCGTCACCCCTACCATTGTTAATATACCCGATCCCAACTAACAAGACAGCGAACCCGCGACTCCATATTTTGGGCGTTCGACTTCTAGTCAGCAAGTCGTTAGTTCGGGTGTCGAGTGCTACTTGTTTGTAGAATGGACATTGTGTGGTTATTCCACTGTAGATGATTGTATTCGACCCAAATGTTCACTGAAACTTCGGGTCTGACCCCAAAGAGTCATGTCCCGGGACTTAAACCTATATCCTGCACCGAATAATTTCTGAAATTATTTGCTTGATATATATATATATATATATATATATATATATATATGAAAAAGGAGGAGGCTCTTCGGAAAAAATCGAGGTGTACTCGGGAATTTTCGAATTGGTGACACCAACCCGTCGTCAGACGAAATGAAGATAAAGAGTGAGTGAGACAGTCACACTAGACTAGTAGACGCGACAGGATAAACATTGACGGGCGGACCATTAGCGTGTGAGGAGGGGTGCGGGCAGGGAGTCATGCTGGGTTCTCAGCCGGGAGGGCAGGAAGGGGGGAACAGTTACGGCCTCCCGTGTTGGACGGGAGGGAGAATGGTAGGTTGACAGAATTGCGGGCGCCCGGATTGGCGGCTGCTGATGCGGCGTGGGGCCCGGTTAAGTGAGGCGTGATTTTAGGCCCTCATAATGGACGTTTAGGTCAACTTAGCGGTTCATGCTGTCCGCGTTAGAGTGCCATGCCTCTAGGAAGTCTCTCGCCCGTTTTGTGTTGGCCGTAGCGATGACCTCGGTGTTATCCCAATTAAAACGGTGGTCGCATTGGAGTGCGTGTGCAAAGACGAGGGACAGTAGATCACTGCGACGGACAGCTAGTTTGTGTTCATTAATACGAGTTCACATATATATATATATATATGAAGGGCATAGAAGGCTCGTCGGAAAAAATGGAGTTGTACTCGTGAATTTTCGAGTTGATGACACCAACCCGATCACAACCGACGAGACAGCGGGCCCGTGGCTCAATGGTAGAGTGTTAAACTCCATGATCAAAGATCCCGGGTTCGAATCCCAAGTGATCCACGCTTGGGGGTGGGCATGACTGACTGATGACGGCTAATAGGCCAGAAATGGCTATTCTGGTCTCCTTTGTCTTTGTCGGCACCATCTCATCTATGTCTACTACTAGTCGCTGTGCGACTGCCTGCGAGGGTTCTAGTATGAACCGCAAGGCACAACGGAACGAGCGTGTTCCGTAACCTGATCGGTGAATGCCAACTGTCATTATATATATATATATATATATATATTGATAAAGTGATACCGACAAAGACAAGGGAGACCGGTCTCCCTTTTCGAAACGAGAACGCATTTCGAAATTTTGGTTGACATTTCATGAGTTAGCACATATATATATAAGCAGAATGGCCTTGCCGACAAAGACAAGGGAGACTGGAATGGCCATTTCTAGCTTATTAGCCGTCGTCAGCAGTCATATCCAACCCCGAAGTGTAGAATACTCGAGGCTCGAACTCGCGACCTGTTAGTTAGAAGTCCACGCCTCTAACCACTGGGCCATGAGCCCGTTTCCCTGTTGGTTTCGATCGGGAATATACAATGGTAGTGGACGCTCACCTTTCGTTCTTATGGAACTCACTCGTTCCGTTGTGCCTTATGGGCTCCCTCTCGAGCCCAACCAGCAGCCGCACAGAGGCGCATGATAAAGGCAGAGTGGCATTACTGACAAGAACAAGGGAGACCGGTGTGGCCGACGGAACGAGTGAGTTCCGCAAGAACGATCGGTGGCCTCAAGAATTTGGCCTTTCTTAGATGGACAGACGTCAACAGTGCAAGTTTTGCCCTAAGAAAAGTTGAGACTGTCCAGCGTACGTAGGTGATCTCGCCTCTCTACTGCTATTTGATGTTGGAGATACATGTCTCGGTTTGGCCACGGTAAACTGCACTACGGGCGTTGCATGGAATCTTGTAGATGGCCTCTTTTCTTTTTAAGTAACCAACTCTATTCCTAGGGTGTTCAAGTTTGGTGCGTGGTGTAAAAGTCGTTCATTTTCTCAAGGGACTTGTTGTCTTCAATACATACGCATATATATATGTATATATATGATGGCAGCCTTCTTGCAGATATGCAATATTTGAGTCTTTTGATAATTTTTCTTCAGGGCATTTATATGACAAGTAGTCACGAAATCATACCCTGTCCTCCGTTATGCCCAACTGCTGAGCGAGAATCTCCCTTTCGCGCGATGAAAGGTAGTTTTTCTTTTTATAAAAGTTTTCGAGGATTGAAAGATCCTTTGGCTGAAAGTAAACACGCGCTTTTCTGTAGCGCTTGGCAGCGGAAGGGACTGTCGGGGAGGTCCTTGTGATTTCGACGGCGGGTGGGGAGGACGCTAGGGAAGAAGGCAGACTGTCGGCTGGTGAGAGCTCGGAGCCTGAAGAATGTCGAGGTGCCCTCCGATAGCCCATGTCTTTTTCCGTGGTGAGGGTGAGTGCGGAGCTCCGAGGGGATACGTCGCACGATTGATAGTCAGGCTCTGCCATAGAGAGTATTTGTTTTACGCCATGGAAGGGGGTCCGTGGTTGCACATTCTGAAATCCGACGTCAGCTTGGAAGACAAATGCACGCCAAGCTGCCATGAGGGACTGTAGAAGGTGCAGGTATTCTGTAAAAATGTGGCAGAAATCAATTCGTAAACTGGCCCTGTCAGTAAACCAAAATTTACACGCATTGAAGGTCAGAAATAACGTATAAGCTGGGAAATCGGTGTTTTGACAATGCTATGTGATTACTGCAAGTAAGCTAGAAAGGTCATTTACTATGTTCCTACCTGCATCAGTCAAACTTATCGACTCTTGATTACTCCCCGCCATATGACCGTCAGAGTGGAGCTCACAAGTGTGAAATTGTTCTTATTTCACCCCACAACCCACATAGATTAATGGATGTCGTACCCACGCGATCGTAAAACGTGTAATATAGCATGTACACAGGTGGTTTTAATATGCATAAGGTGGGCGCAGTATGCACATACATTTAGAAGAAAAGCGCCTGTGATAGTGACCCCAAACACCGGTGGGAATTCGAGATTATACGTATCTTTCGATAAATTCTCCTCAGGCCAGTACAGTTATATGGGAACGGGGTACAGTCAAATATGGCAGTGACTAAAAAATAGATAAAGATTAGTTTTACAGCACAGGCGGGGCGAGAGTGGAATGGCTCAGAAAATTGTATGTGGTTAGTCAACCTTTGACCTGGGTAAGCGCGGAGCACGAAAGAGGTTCTCCTGGGCGCACAGGGTCGGTTTTCGTAATCTGATGGCGGCCGCTTCTGCTGTTGCGAGCAGGCGCTGTCTCAGTAGCCTAGGATAGTTCGAGGGGACCTTATAAATCAGACGAAAAGCTTCCCCGGGGTGCACGCGATGTCCTGAATCAACTGCATTCACAATAATAGCGCTGCTTATGCTCCTAGTTTCGCCTTTTGCCAGTCCTGCGGGGAGGTATTATAGTATTCTTTCGGATAGACGCCGACACGTACGACCAGTATAATCTGTTCCACAGGAGCAAGCGAAGGAATAGATGCACATTGAGGTGGTCTGTAGTGGTAACTTATCCTTACATTCTCCGCGTAAAACAGGGTTAGTGAAGAATTATAATTGAACCCTTGCAGCTGGGAAGGTTCGCTAGGCAGCTTGATCAAGGCGTCTACTTAGGAGATCACTCGCAGAGTCTCCATGAAAAGGAACTTTGAGAAACAAAGTTTTCTTTTCGGAAGTCAGTGTGGTGGGCCTTGCTCGTCCCTCAGCATTGTTCTTTGCAATAAACCTGTCAGGATACCTGTGTTCGTGAAGGAAGTCCTGGATTTTTCTAAGCTGTCCCTCGATGCTATCTGTTGAACCACTTTTTTAGCCCTTTGTGCCAAACACCAAACTATATTTCGTTTTGGTTGGAGGGGTACGAAACTGGCGAAGTTCATGTATTGTTCAGACCAGGTTTTCTTCCGATAGACGCTCCTTCGGACGCTACCGTCTCCTGTTCAGAAGAATGTCTAAGAAAGAGAGTAAACCAGCCGATTCCATCTCCAACGGGAATTTGGTCAACGGATGTGCCTGATCTACAGCATTTAAGAGAGTAGCCTTGTCGGTTTCTGTGGTGGCAATTGCAAAAATGTCACCAACTTAGCGACCGTAATGTTTGAGCTTATCGATCTGATTGCTTAGTTGAAATCTCTCCAGCTTGTTCATGAAGAAATTGGCTGAGAGATGTACAAAAGGCGAGTCTATAGCAACGCCGTCTATTTGTCTATAGAGTTGGTTGTCAAAATGGATCTGTAAATTTAATGTGTATCTTAGTAATAATTTTTTTATTGTGGCCGTCAGAATTCATATTTCCTGCTGATTGGTTGATAGAAAACCACAGATGTATTCAACTGTCTCGGTTACCGGGACATTTGTAAAAAGCGATGCAACGTCTAGCGAGAACATCTCCAGGCCGCTAAGGTTTAGGTCTTACATGGGGTCAGTGAATTCAGATGTATCTTGATAGCTTCGTGATGTTAGCTGATGCTGTACGGGCTTGAGTTCCTCTATTAAGCACTTCGTTATCGCATGATACGGAGAGTTTCGCATGTCTAAAATCTGACGAACTGACAGGCCTTCCTTATGGACCTTACGTGGAACATATAGTCGAGGGATATGTATGTCGACTAACCGGAGGTGTTCGAGGTCACGGTCACATGTATGACTCACTTTCGACAGCAAAGAAGCCCAAAATAGCAGCTCCAGTTTCTCGCCGCTTTTCGACGACATCTCTCAGTGACGCATATTTTTTGGCTGAGACAGGATCTATGGAAAGTGTGCTCGCTGTGCTTACTCAGATAAAAGCATTCATGAGAATGCTCCAAGGGGAAGGGCAGACTAACATGCATATGTGATTACACCATCCTCTGAGAACATCCCTATTTTTACAAATCAAGCCCCGTGAGAACCTACTATATTTTGTGATACTAAGATTCCATATAATTTTCTACTCCACACATTGCCATTCTATAAGATAACCCGGTCGGATGTGGCTATGTAACCCCACCTGAGTTAAACAAACTCCAGTAACTTCTAATACGGAACCGTTTGTAATAGGGGTTTTTACAGGTGGGGCCGGGGGACGCACAGGCAACGAGGTCAAGTAGTTGCCTGCAAAAGAAAAGCTATTGGGAATGCGAGGTTGTACGTTGAGTGGTTGAGAAATAGTTGCGCTAACCCGTAACCATAGCCGCTGGCCTTAACCCCTAACCCTAACCCTCACCCTTAACCTCAACCCCAACAGTATTGTATCCATCAGTTGGGGCTACCAAACCACATTTTATCGATAATCCTGAGCTAAGCAGTCGGAAATCAGAGTTCAAAGTACATCATTCTTACAAATACCTTCTTATACTGACTTCCACTGGCCACCTAGGCATAGCACGTGGTCGGACTGAAGATACTTTAAACTCCCATCTTATGCTTCTGCCGAGTGAACATCCGAGCCACTCGGACAAGGGGCGACGCTTATTGGCGCCATTTTAACCGACCGGCACGGCAACTCGCTCCTGCTTAGTAGTTTTTATGTCATTATCGCCGCGATGACATAGACTGACATGCTTCAGGTGACTTAACCCGAACAAGAAAATGTATGATGGGTATGGCGTTCGGTGGAACAACTATCACACGGTTTCAAAAACTTCCCCACTCATGCGCTAGCTTACCATGCGGACAAGTCGTCGCGAAAGCTGCAACACCAACAGGTTGGCCAAATACGGACGAGGCAGAAAGGACGACAGAGATATCGATGATCGCTAAATTCGTTGACTCCAATATGCGTGTGAAGTTCAGTTCGACATTTGCACAACGCAGGCTCTGACGCTGAATAGTAGATCAACCGGACTGAGTCATCAATTAGCTAATAAAATTGTCCCAGCGGTCTGTTAGCTAGATCCCATACCGTCGAACTTCTAGAATTGATAGAAA